AACGTTTGTTTGCTTCCACCAGCGCGAACAGTGTGGAACTTCATAGCCAGAGTGTTATCCTGCGTCCAGGGCGAATCCATCTAAAAGAAAGACACGAGAATAAAATACAAGGCATCAAGAACGGATATGGTAACTCTGTTAATTCTAATTTAGTTTTCAGTAGGTAGCAGGTCGTCTCGCTCGAATTTAGGTCGATCCACGCAGTAATAGTGTGCGGTTTAAACAAACATGGGTGGCAGCTCTGGCTTTCTCACTCTTTTGTATTAACGAACGGCTAGAAAAAATCTTGCTCAGCTAACGCAGCGACTAAAAGGTGACACGTCTCTCAGCCTTGCGATCGACGCGCGCAATACCGGATGTATAGGCCTTTGGAACGAAAAAGCGACAAAATGTGTTTTTCCTTTTGACCCAGCTTTGACGCAGTAAAAACCACTGACGGGATACTGGAAAAATTACTTTTAAAATACCATTCAAGGAAAGCCCTCAGACCCTTTGCTATTATATTGCTGACGTTGTAGTGAACTTGAAAGAAACTTTAACAGGTTTAGTCGTGGCGTAAATGGAACACAAGAGGGACAACAGGTCCCTTCAGTTGTTTAAAGGTTACAGCCTTACGGAGTAAAGTTTCATAAAAACAAGTGAATCTCATCAAAGACCAGTTTCCAATACCGGAAGATACTTCACAGGGGTATGAGGAAGCAGTTTAACCAGAACGGGTATTGTTCCAAATGACTTACCTGTGTTGTGTCTTGCTCCACCAAGTGGGTGTATTTTGTCCTACCTGACCGGCCGAAGTTTTTCACCTGAGGGAAACAAGGAAGTACGTTACACCTTCAAACATTTAGAAAAAGGTAAGGAAATCAAACAAGCAAATTTCAGAGTAAAAGAAACCTCCATATTAGGCTCGATTTCCGCCGCACTCCTTGGTCCGGTCTTGTCCGGACTGATTTCCCAAACAGCGGCTGCATAATAATCGAGCCTAGCGCCATATAAATGACCTGTTGCAAACTTCTTGATTGAGTTACATCTAAGAAAAAGTCTGTTTCCTTTTGTTTTTTATTTTTGGTTCCTTCTTTTCTGCGGAAACGGTAACTGTCTTACAGCCGTCTTAGAAATAATAGAGAGATAAAATATATGTGTGTGCTGTTTCACTGAATTACACGCACTGACCTGCATAACTTTTGGGATAACTGTTTTATCAAAGTGATCTTCGAGTGTAGGTTTTGCAAAGTCTCGTTTGTAGACGTCGTCCTCTTCGTCCTGTGAAGCAAGAAAAAATATATATGTTAAAATATAGAACCAGTACAAATTTCTCAGATCACAGTGCGAGGCTTTGACAAATACTAATTTTAATAGCTTTTCAACCAAACATTCTCATGGCCATTTAACCAACTTATGGTGTGCGCTCTTAGACCACGGTTTACAACAATCAGTGCGCCTCGACATCTTTTCATAAGTTGGTCGTTTCAAGAGGATAAATAACAATTATTCCCTATCAACGGTGGAAACATGAAGTAAAACACACACATGAACTGTAGACTAAAGATAAAGGTGGATATGATCCTCAAAGTTACTAGACCAAGCTTAGCGGATTCCCAAAAACACAACAGAAATCGAACAATTATTCACCGAAGTGGAGGTGGCTAGTGGGTGGATATTATATCAGGCAAATGATACACCTGTCGGCAAGGCACAAAGGGGTCGAGCGTGAGTCGAAAGTAAAATCGAAGCTTTGTCTTAGGAGACTTATTGAAAATTTTAACCTCTAGAGGATAATTAGCCAAGAAACTAACGGAAAAGTAACCTATCCAACCAAGGTGCTGGTGAAACGAGCCGGAACATGGCTACCTTTGCTGAGATGACTTTTATTCCGGTACAGTCGAACCGCCACTAAAGGCCACCTGTCCACAAAGGCCACTTTCTTCTGCCTCCCTGGTGGTCATTGTGGAGAAGTTCTACTGCATATTTAAACCAGCTAACCGGGCGGCTGGCTTGAATGTAATGTTATCGCGAAGTTGATTTTTGTTGCTTTTAATTAAAGTGCGGTGATCTTTACAAAGCGAGCCAGATTTACATGTGGGACAAATTTCTATCTGTGTGGCTTTTTTCAAATCAAACATACCTAACCCCTCCCCCACCCCACAAACAACGTTTAACGCGTGTATCCAAAACTTTCTCGAGTTTCAACATTGTATAGGGTGTGGGGAGGGAGAACAGCAAGATATTTTTGAAAAGGCCACACTGCTTTATGAGGGAACCCTGACTGTACAGAAAATTCACTGTTCCAAGGACTTTTGTCCGGAATTGCAGCTGAGTGCAGTGAAACGGGAAATCAACTTACCAAAAAGAAGGCGCCACGATGATAGTATTTCTGCAAAAAGCCGTATTTTCCTTTAACAGCTTTGTTGGTGATAACTTTAGGATTGTTCCTAACTTCACTTCTCCACTGATCTTCAGTAAGATCATGAAGACGCTCGACTTCCTGTCTTTCTTTCTCCATTCTAAACGTAAGAAAGGAGAAGAATTAACAAACTGTAAAGGTTGCAAGCAGAGTTCAGTTGAAATTAACTGCGGCAAGATAAGCTGCTGCTCCAGTCGGTAGAGCGGTTGACTGCAGAGCGGGAGGTCGCGGATTCAATTCCCAGGGCCGGACCAATACTCAGAGTCTTAAAATAACTGAGAAATGAAGGTACTAGAGAGTTTAAGCTTCACGTGCATGGCAAAAGGCAAACGTCAGATTCAAGTTGAGAATTTCTCAAAATAGAAAATGAGCAGATAAAAGCAGGTCAAAACAATTCTTATGGATGAAAAATTACGTGAAATAACTAATTTAGGTGTAGAAATAATGAACAGCAAACGACGAGGAAACTTGCTCACGTGATGCAATTTCGCGTTTGCCGTAAACGTGATGCTTAACCTTTCTACTAACTTTTGCAATGCAAACGGCAAGAACTTCGCGTGGCTCAGATGACCTCATGAAATGGCGGTTCCGTGTTCAGTAAGAGACGTATTATAGTGTCCCAGTTAGTACTTTCGTACTAAATAAATTGACAAGCAAATAAGTTTATCAACTGAGTTTATAAATTATCATCGCAAAAGAATTAAAAGTAGATGTTTCCTTTGCCATTCCTTTTAATTCATTCAAGTTATTAGTAGATAGATTTATCTTACTGTTCTCTTTCATCTCTATCTCTTTTGATTCGTTTGAGTTCTCGAACTTTCCACGCCTCATACTAAAAGCAAAGGATATAACAAAGGTCAGATGCAGCTTATCTAAGATGTAATTCTCTGCCTAAATATAAGTGATTTCTTCGAGTAGTGCGACAAATGTGTGGGTGCTCATTATTTGCCCGAAACTATTCAGAAAAAAAATTCAAATTAACATGATTCAACCGGTCTCCACATCTTCTACCATTTAATGAATGTATTGCAAATATCGAGGTGATTTCGCTCTACCGCTCAACATTGTTGGAAGATGTTGTGAGTTAAAATTGGCTGCTTATCGACCCTCTTCGTTATTCAGACACTACGACACCGTGGGGCCTCATTATCTCTTCATACAGGCTGGATAAATGAGAGAACGACGAGACTGTCTGGCCTGGTTTGTATGAACGCTAGCCTGAGATCGTAAGACTGTACTATTTTCTAAACTACTACATTTAATCAAAAATAGGTTTGTAGAATCTCTCCTTTCTACCGGATGCCCCTGAAAGTAACAGCAACTTATGACTTTAAGATTTTGGTCCAATGAGGGCAACTCTCCTTTCAGTGTAGCTTTTAATATACACCGATGAAGAGAAGGAGGGGGGGGGGGAATTCGGGCCCAGGCTTGTTAGTCAGAGGATGACTATTTCAGCCAACCGACGTAAAATAAGGACTCTTTACCTTGACCTTTTAAAATCATAGTCAGGACAGTTCGAAACTAACATAAATAGAAAAAGTAAAGAGAACCTAAATACTGTCATCTCTTGAGGTATCAGAGGCATTTCGATTCTAAGACGACGAGTAAGAGTACGAGTACAAGATGTTCTCAATACTAAGTAGTGCGCGCACGTGAACCAGGGTCATTTTGGCGGGAAAACGTGCAGGTCGTCACCATTCTACTACCAGTTTTAGCGAGAATTTCGTAGTGGCGGAAACAAGTAATAAAGTGTTAGAGGTTTATCATTTTGGGGCCGGGGATGGCTTAACCTCCTTCAATAAAGATAACTGTTCTATTTTTTGGCGGAAAGGAAGTACAATAAAGCTTTCCGGGGTGTCTATTATTAAAAAATACGCGAAAAAACTTTAAGTCAAATCTCGTACTCGTAGTCGTTCTCGAATCTAAAGGTCTCTCTTACTACACGTTGGGGTGTAATTGGAATCAATATATGAAAACATCAATTTTTAGGGACTATTGCAACAGCTCTTGATAGGCAGTGGCAAAAAGGTTTCTCACAATAAATTCACATGGTAATCACCTCTTCTTCGTCATCTTCATCGTCAGTTATTATAATGTCTTCTATATCATCAACTACAGGAAATAATCATAAACACAAAGTTACGAGTATGAGTGGTTATCTTATTTTCCGTTGTTGTACATTTATTGGAGAGCTTGCACGTAAGCAACCACGAGAACGACGGCAAAAGAAGAAAAAAAGCGACATCGCGATGTTTCAAAGTTCATCGTTAATATTCTACATCCTTCAATTTGTTAAATGCTGGCTAATTTGCTTTTAAATGACTTCCTAAGGACGTATTGAATTAAAAGTTTAGAAAAAAAGAAAAAGTTCTTTTGCGTTAACGTCCTCGATAGAACATCGCAGGCCTGTACTGACGGCAAAGAAAATGTGCGGATAATTATAGTGCAAGTACAGTGTGGTTGTTTTCCTTGTCTTTACCTTTCTCGTCTTGGTAGCTTACATGTAAACTCCATATTTATTATACACTACTAGTTTCATCTGAAGGTGAGTCAGCGTGGCTTAGTGGTTTTGGGAGCTGGATTTCAACTGGCTTGGGGCGCCACAAGGTGAAATCCAGCTCTGGCGACTAAGGAAAAGTTGTTCTTAGTATCCTCGTCAGTTTAACCCCTTGGTGATGATGGTAAATAACCAACTAGTTTGCCTCCGTCGGCAACTTAGGAGAAAGCGTCAGGGGCCAGCAAGAGGTCTTTCTCCTTCCACTCATTTTTTTCTGTTATGAGAGAACTTAGCTAGCAGGGAATAAGAAGTCTTGAACACTGCTGCCTGCTTAAAAGACACTAAGTTAAGATAGCCCTTTACCTTCTTGTTCCTCCTGTAATTCTTTCCTAAGTAGCTCTTCAACAAGCTGTGCATCGGAGAGAAAAGCACAAATGCTTTTAAGGCATGTACATTTATGTTTTCCTTAGCACTACAAACTTATAACCATTAGCTTTTTGAAACCAACGTAAGGGTGGGGTGGCTTACCGTTTACACAAACCATCCGGGGTGAAACTTTTGTGCATAAACATAAAAATAAAAAATTTGACGTGGAGGGAGATTGAACGACTCGCTACAAATTATATCCAGGTCAGCTGAACAGACTAAAAAGAGTTGAAAAATTGCATTGCATCAAAACAAAGCCTGTTTTTCTGAAGCCTTCCCAAACGGGAGGGCCAGGGGCGCGTTTCTCGAAAGTCCCGATAATTAACGGGCCCGGTAAGCTGTCTCCATTTCCATTAAAGATCGAGGTTTCAATAGTTTTGTATCTAACATGATAAAACTATCAGTTAACGAAACAAAATGCAGTAGTTTTCTAGCCGGGAACCGCGCTCTTATTCTTTTTATTTTGATTTGAATATTTGTTTTCGAGATCGTAGCACAGTTATGTTTAGAAACTCCATACAAACCCTTCTAATTTTTTTTGGGTAGACCCAAAAAAAATTTAGAAGGGTTTGTATGGAGTTTTCTGTGTATAACAGGCTAACATCTCAGAGACAATTTGCCCTGAAATGCTCATTTTTGGTAAGTAGGCCTCTTGGACATTGTTCTTTCAGAATATCCTGACAAATCCCATAATTTAAGAAATTTCATTTTTATGACGTCATCACCTTGGTACTCTATTGGTCTTCGCACTACTTATCCGCTGGATAGCGCTATCCAACTTTTGAACAACCGAGGCCTGTAAGTTTCAAACAACTGTAATGAAAACATCACATGGGCTCCAAGGAATAATAACATAATTTCCTGGCCCACTTACTTCAGGTTTAGCAATTCTGAAGCTTATTGGCCGACATGGCTTTAACCATCATTTTGGGGCAGACCGGCCAAGATCATGCAAACCATAAAAAGATCATTTAGAGAGTTATCAGAGCAAAATAAGGGCAACAATTTTAATTTCACCCTGATTTCCCATCGAAGCATGTAACATTGCCACTTATGTTTCTGGATTTCAGTAACGTTTTGCCTGTGTCTAGATCTGCTACCATTTCTTTTAAAGAAAAAAAACAACAACAACAATAGTTCAACTTACCTTTCGTGATATTTTTGTTCTTTCCTCAGCATTCTTCTTTTTCTCCACTTCCTTTCGTTCCTGGTCAAGTTCCATTTTTTCACGTTCCTGAACAGTAACCCTGTCACTTCTGCAATACAAGGCGTTTTATACAAAACATATCATTATAGTATATACCTCTATGAGTGTTTTTTCTTTCACTTGATTTGAGCAATGATAACACAATAACAGGAAAGTAACCATTGCTACAGATCTGCAAATAATTTTCTTAGTGAACGGACATACTAATTGCTGACCAGGACACCATTTACGTTGGACAAACAAAAAAAAATTGGACTATCATATCGTTGGCTTTTAGTACACGTACAACGTATAGTTTTTAATATTAATTTGATCTGTCCTGTCATCATCATCATCATCATCATCATCATCATCATCATCATCATCATCTGCACATTATTTTGATTATATCCATATAGATACTGGTGCATTATAAATTTTCCAATATTATCATAATACAGGGTGGAAAGAAAGTCATTTTTAAAGCTAGCCATTTGGGCAATCTGAAGCTAGCATATACTAGCCCAAACGTCAATTCAACTAGCCCCAAATACATTTTGATGAGCAGAATTGATTTAACAGTTCTTCTGTAATTTGAATACCTGAAAAACTTCATTTGCCCGTCGGGCAAGTTAATAACAGAACTCACTAGCCTGATAGCAAAATCTATTAGACCCGGGCTATCGGACACTACTTTCTTTACATGCTGATAATAATAATGATAATGATAATAATAATAATTATTATTATTATGATTACCAACATCATCATCATCATCATCACATCTGACCATACAGGTAGTTAGCATTTGTATGATATGGGCAAGAAATGTAAGTCGGATATTTATGACCAACTGGTATTAAAAGCTCTTTTGTGCTGACACTTGTTGCATTGTTACATGTATGTTTACTAAAATGAAGTTTTAAGTAAAAGTAAAGTTCATGGGATACCACTAGGAATGCTTGCCATTCCTTTCAATAATCATTTTATAATTTTCAGAAAAAAATCAGTGCTTCCAGTTTATCAAAAATCTTGGACTATGCAAACTGGCATAAAAATGTTGTGAGCATTAAAATACAAAGTGTATCTAAGTTGGAATGATACCAAGTGTTCACTTATGTGTGAAAGTAACACTTACTTCCTGACAAACACTGGTTTTAATCTCGGGTTTGCTTCTTCCTCAGAATCAGTGTATTCCTCATACTCTGATGACTAAAAGAGAAATAAGAAGATGAAGAAGGTTGCACAAAAATTAACATCTGTTGCAAAATTAATATTCAAAAAGTACCAGAGATGTTTCAGCTTTTGTTCATTGGAAACGTTCAAGATTTTGAATGACGAATTTCACCATACATAACTGTATGATAGACTGTTCAAAGCTATTTTTGGGAACAACAGCTGCTCAATTTGGAACAAAATAAATTTGTGCAACATTACATTTCAGTAGCTTAAAGGGTTCCATATTATTCTAATTATTATTATTATTAATTGATACCTCCTCTTCTTCTTCTTCCTCATCTGATTTTGTTTCATCTTCCACATCCAGCAAGTCCTTAAAAAAAATGACATGAAACATTCAGTACTTTATAATACGGAAAAAAAAAAAAAAATTGGTGTTAGGCAACCCAGCCAGAGCCAGGATGGATTTTCTAGCTTAAGCTCATATGCACTTATACTTGAAACTGCTGTACATTTATTTTGTGTTAAATTCAATTAATTTAGCATAAAAATTGAACATGTAGCTGTAAGAAGATGATGATTGTTATGATGAGAAGGCACACAAGCATCTAACCTCTGCTTCGCCAGTCCAACCAGTTGAAATACTGACATTACCGTCATGAACATTCAACAACTTATGTTACGTAAAGGTAAATAAGGTGTCATTTTACCCTTTCATTTTCTTTCTGTCTTGCTCTTTCTCTGAGCATTGACCTTCTCCGCTCAATAGCCTGAAGAACAGAATAAAAGATAATCACATCACTACTTAACAAAACAATTTACATGCAAATAAGAGGATATTATTTGAAGTACCGATACAGTGTACCCACAACACTGAAAGATGAACCAAAAGATCAGGTTTGAATCCACACCTCAAGCCTAAAATTAATCTATTTGGTTCTTTTTCAGCTTGTTACAATCATGGTTTGATCAACAACTGGGCTGATCACATCAAATCTATCAACTTAAAAGTAATAATGAAACATCTCATTATACTTGTCACAAAACAACATAATTTTTTAATCAAGGAAAACGTACCTCTTCGTCTAAATCTTCTTCGTCACTAATATCATAAAACAAAATTAAAACCCATCAATTAGAACAAAAAGCCAAGGTACAATGCACAGTGTACTTTAAAAAGGCCATGGATATCTGCACTTTAAAACAGATAAATAACATTTTTTCCAGTAGATTAATATCTACAAAGTAAAGCTTTAGCAAGTAAGAATTTTTTTGGAGCTTTTTGTTGTAGAGAACAGCATGTATAGTAAAAGAAACATGAATGTATTTGTACTTAGTAGGTAAAAAATTATTATTATTTGAGCACCACGTTTGAATTGGTCATGCAAAATCTCAGTGAAAAGAAAAAAATACCATTTGGGTATAATGAGTTACAAAAATTTCAACAAAGGGCAGCACTGTTGCTTCAAGGGTGCATTGTAATTTTGGGTTGGTACTCATTTGTGTAAATGCATTTTGACTAAATCCTGTGAGAAATTATGGTGTACAGTATAGAGATGTTATATTAATTTTTTCAGATTTGTAGCATTTTAGGGGAAAGATAGAAATGTGGGATAAATACTTAACACGCACCTGCTTTCTTCCATTCGCTGCACTCTTCTCCTTGGTTCTCGTTCATCCTGTTATATAAAAATTTTGCTTTTATTAGATACCTCATGGCTGTAATTTACTGTTGTAATCACTGTGCATTGAAGCTAATGCAACATGGATTACTTACATAATTTACATGTAAGTATCTGTTGTGGTTCGATTTTATCCTTGGTTTAACTTTTATTTCCCTTTGTTTTGGGGTATGGTAAGTTATGATAATGAGTTTGAAACAATGGGAAATAAAACTTGAACCAAGGATAAAATTGAATGACAACATATCCACAGGTTGCAAAAAATTGTTTTTTGAGGAATCTATGATTTTAAATATCTTTCAAACAACTTCTTTGTGTTGGGAGTTGGTATTGCTAAGATTCAAATCAAAAATAACTACCACACAGCTACATTTGTAAAACAGTTATTAAGAAGGATGAGTGACACTACTGTAGTAAAGAAAGAGGTCTATTAAAAATATAGCAATGGAGCCTAGGATGTAGCTGAGCTGCATAATATGTTGCATCTATTCCAAATCACTTGCTTCATCTAGTGTAGGCAAACTCTCCTGAAGTTGAACTTCAAAGAACCATATCCAAGTTCAGAAAGAGAAATAGAATTTTCTTGGCACTTGACTGGTACTCCATAGAACATGAAATTATTGTAGTCATACCATACAGATCACAGGGCTCGAAATTAATGATAACCTGTTAACCAACGGTTAGTAAAAATTTTCTTAAATATTTAAATTATGTTATGGAAATAACCTTTTTACAAGTAAATGTTAATTTTTAGGAACGATTTTTGTGTTGTTTTCTTGCATGAGATTGTTTTCTGTCTCAACAATTTGTTCTCACCATCTTTGCGATCGAATCAAACTTTTCAGACCTTTTGAGCACTAAGGCCCTGGAGACGAGTTTGTGTCGAATGTGGGGATCTGGACACTACAATATCGGATCCGCCATCTTCGCTTCGAAATTACTGTTTGTGAGGTTAACTGGCAGTTTGGCATTGAATTATGCACAGTTCTTTGGATAGATTTATTAGAAAAAGGCAGGCTCCAGCTGAAAGTAACTGTGGTGAAGAAGAAGAATGTCAAGAAAAGGAACCAAAGACAACAGAAGATATGGAAGACTCGAGCTCCTGGAAGCGTTACGAAGAAAAGAGGAAACAAGAGGGCCGATCATTTCGACAGGAGTGGAAATAAACATTTGCGTGGCTTCAGTTTGACGAGACTAAGGAATACTTAGAATACTCAATTTGTTGAATCATTCAACTCAAACTGTTGTTAGAGAATGTGCTGAAGATGTACTGTTCTTCACTACCTAAATCATGCTGGTCTCTTCAAGGGAAACGAGAGGGAAATAAACTAGGCGCTTAATTGTCAACGTTTTTTTAAGGTCACCATGCAATTTCGACTACTTTTTAATTTGTTCTAGTGGTTATTGACAAAATGTTCAATATTTGAGATTTCAAGATTGTCAAGATTTTTTAGTTGTGAGCTTGGATACCAAACTTTACAATTTGGTTAGTAAAAAATATGTCTACTAACCCGAAGGGTTAGTGATCCAAAAATTAAATTCGAGCCCTGGATCAACACAGACTTAAACAAAAAAGTGCGATGTAAGTGTAAAGATAAAACCTATTGTTTTTTAATGTTCATATTGCTGTTGCTGTCATTGGATCTAAATCAGCCTATCGTAAGAAAAAGTAAACTTCATACCTCTTCACCTGATGCTTCCTCGTCTCCCATGGCAATCACTTCAGGTTCATGAGGTCGACGTCTGTGACCTTCCCTGATGAAATGAAAAGTAAAAGACTGAATAAAAAATGAGTGACATCTCAGACTACAGTTTATGTTGAGAAAAAAATCTGTTTATGGTGACATGATTGTATATCACAGTTAGCAGAGACATATTGATTTTGAAATATTTTACCATGTAACAAATGGGTGCATAAGCCTCTCAGAGTGCTTAACAAAATACTGAACTGACTGGCTAGAAAACCACCACTTCCAGGTAATATAGACTGACCTGGCTGGGCAGGTTTGATTGACAGCTAAATTCTCTTTATGACTTTAATTGTCTGGTTAGCTTGTTCTGTCTAATGGACAAGCACCCAACCCTGTACATCAGCCTCTTATGCAATTTAATGCCAGGCCAATCAATATATGATATTAATGAACAGGTTTGCTTGCTTCTCACAAATGGCTTCAATGATGATACTTTCAAACAGGTGACAGTTATCATTTCAGATGATATTTATATGAACAAAATTATGAATGTAAATGTACAGTGTACCATCAGCATCACATACATTTCATCATCCTCATCTTTAACTCTTTCTTGTAATCGTCGTAATCTTCTATCTGTCTTTTCCGCTTTCTGGAAAACCTAATGAACAGACCAAAACAGAAGAGTAAGTAAGGAGTAAGTAAGGAGTGTGTAAAGAGTGTAATAGGTCTTGCAAAATAAGGTTCTAGTTATTCATTATGGTAAATTACATATGTACAATACTACACGTGACGCAGTACTACTTTTTGTTTCACAATACTGCGTCTTGTGATGACAATTAATCATGATGTTTCAAGTGAATCAGGGCTCGAAATTGCGACTGATACGGTCGCCAATGCGACTAACATTTTCTCCTTGGCGACTAAAAATTCTGGTTTAGTTGCCAAAGTGGCGACCAGATTTCTCTATATTTTAGACTTGTTGCTCTCTCAACAACAATACGCCCCAGAAATGAACCAACGGCAAAGCCGTTAACATCATGGCTAGTGCCCAGTTTTTCGCAACGTGACCCACGCCTGGTAGTTTTGGGATGTTGTTTGCACGTTTCAGTGACAAAGTGTCAAGATAAATTTGCTGAGATAACTTTCAAATATGTTGTACAGACATGTACGTGATAAGATTTCTACTGAATTTCACAGTATTATGCGCGCTTTTGTGAATTTTGCACATTTACCTGAATTTCATGGCTTCGTGACCGCGGGAAATGTATCACAAGCCCTGAGCTGCATCATTTACATTACAGAAACCGGAGAATAAAAATTTGCATCTGGCGACTATATTTCTCCAGTTGGTCGCCAAAAGGTGACCTGAGGATTTTTTTAATTTCGAGCCCTGTGAATATTTCTAGGCTTCAGCATGTGATGAGGTTGACCAGATATTCAACTTCTACAAAACATGGCCCTCCACCGTAAATGGTTCTTAAAAGCATGAGTGTGTAACATCAGAAGTTTTCTTCTGTAAAAGTCTGTAGGTTTTGTGGAGAGTTAATCAACTGTATCTTAAGGATTATCCATAACTACGACAAATTCTCCAATCCATTTAGCTAGCAGTTGTCCTGATTTCAACATTAATAGGTAATGTAAAAGAGCAGCATGTTGCTACTATGGATGAACAATAACTATGCACATTAACAAAGAACTGACTTCTTTTGTGGTGAGTTAATAATATTGCAATAACAAATATGACAATTAAGAAATTCCATTTAAATAGTGTGCTGAAGACAAGCTCAGAGAAAACTCACCCAAAGAAACTTAAAATTACTCACACCATTGCCCATTTTCTTAAGTCTCAGAGGTACATGTAATGCTACATGAACTAAGGCCCAGTTCAGATGCCGATCTTTTCATTTCATGAGCCGAACCCAATATATTGAATTAAGTACATGAAAAGTTCGATGTCTGAATCAATTAGGAATGCCTATTTCAATTTGGAATGGTTCAGCCATTCTTCACGTCTAGCCTAGCCAGGAATTCCGACTGTGGAATGACTTTGGATTGGCTTTGATTCGGACGCCGAACTTCTCATGTACCAAACCTAAAGCATAAATTATAATAATGTATTTTGCAAGCAGTTTGACCAAAATGAGCATTTTTCTCCTTTTGAATTTAGTTTGGCTGGAATTGAGATCAGCATCTGAATTCATCCAATATTTTAATAAATACTTGTTATGGCCTAAGTGGACTTCTTTCATTTCCATTACCATTCTAAAACAATACCTTGTCCATTTCTTGTTCGTCAACATCTCGTTCTTTCATAAATGGTTCCCCCAATACTTCATCATCTTCATCCTCCTCATCGCTTGAATACTTGGCATATTCAGGGCTGAAATTTGCGGTAGTGAAAGATTGGGGGTTTAGATTTGTATAGGTAATAGCAGGATTTGTAGTGATATTTGACATAAATACCACGAGTGATATTTCGAAATTGTTATACGAAATTTCACGAGCCGTTAGGCGAGTGAAATTTGAAACAATTTTGAAATATCACGAGTGGTATTTATGGCAAATATCACGTACAAATCATGCTATTATTTGTTTATACCACTACCCGCAAAAGGTTTGTAATTTTCACATGTAGGTATTTCAAATTAAGCTGAAATACCACTGCTCTAAGCCAATCAAATTGCAGAAATTTGTCATGTAGTGGTATAAGTTGATAAATTTCATCAAAATTCACGAATTATTATATTATTATTATTATTTAGTCCTAAGCAAATTGTTCTATTGCTCTACAGTTTGGTCAAACACAACTGTCACAGACATCAAGAAGCTTCAAGCTGTTCAGAATTTCACGTGCAGAATCATAACAAAAACAAAGAAATTAGAGCGCATACCACCTGCGTTACATGAGATCAAATGGCTACCGGTAAATGAGCATCTCCACTACAGAGACACTGTAATGACATTTTGGTGCATGAAGGGCCTGGCCCTCACATACATGTGTGAGTCTCTCCAAAGACGCAAGTCTATTCACCATCATAACGCTAGAAACAGCGAATCCCTTGATATTCCTCCAAGTAAGACAAAGTCAGGACAGCGACGTTACCTCCATAGAGCAGTCAACATTTGGAACAATTTAGACAAAGATTTTAAACAGTGATCTTTACCATCATTTTAAAAAAAGTTGATAACGCACATGCTAGAGAATTATTTTAATTAATGACCGCTTTTTATAATTTCATTCATTTTTTATTATAATGTTCTTTGCTGTTTAGTATTGAAAAGCCCCCTGGGGAATACTAATAACGTATGTATGTCTGCAACAAGAATTTCGCATTATTTACTAAGCTATTAAATAGGTACAGTATTCTCACCGTTTGCCAGCTACATATCTGCTGACTTTCACTTTCTGCATAGTCAACTCTCCTGTTGAGGATTAGAAATGATAAAAAAAAAACATTATGATGAAAGGATAATGCACAGGGAAGTTTGCTTAGTAGACGGCTGGACTCACCCTTTTCATTTTTGATCGGAATAGCCCCCGCTGTACAGTTGATAGGGACTCCTTTTCCTGACGAATCCAT